AAGTTGAATGCTGATGCAAAGGTGCTGCATCCTCTGTTCTTCCTCTTGCAGGCTGCAGGCCTAAAATGTTTCTGCTTCAGTGTCTCTGTATGTGCAAGATAAATATTCAGTCTTAGAAATGATAGAGTGGAGGTTTGAAAAGAAGGAGAATTAAATGAAAATGATCATTCAGGAGACCTAATTACAAAGAGGTAGATGAAGGGAGACACGTCTGAGGCACACTTCACTGGCCTTTTCCTTGTTCTGATGGGAGATAATTTGCTTCTGGCTTGTCTTAGCAACAGCACTATGCTGTGTGGTGGCCCAAGTACTGTGACTTGGTCAGAGGATCTCAGGGGGAATATATAGCTTGGCAGAAATTACTCTTAGCAAAGAATTCAGAGTACTTGGGTTTGGGTGCATAGAACGCGCTGGCCCTCTTTCAGGACTCGTTCTGAAACGTAGCTGTCAGATTTTCTATTTTCAGTCAGAGAAAATTAGAACACCTCAGGACTGTATAGCAGAGATCAGCTGCAGAAATAAAACACTGTCAGTCACGAAGCTCTACTCTTAGCCAGAGTTCCTGCTGCTTAATCAAAAGGCATGGAGAGGCTTCTGGGAGATGGCAGAGACTGGCGTCTGTCCCTATAAAAAGCAGTAATCAAACACAATCACTTCCTATGCGTTTCAGTGTAGCTAGTATACAGCACAATAACTCCCAGGAAACAACGGATAGTCACCCTCTGCTTTGTGACAAGGTGTTTTAATGCCTGACTGCTGGAAGAGAAGGGAAAAAATAAGAGGCCTAATGCAAAACCTTCTGAAGAGATGATAATTTCCACTGATTCTAGTGTTCTGCAATCTGGGTTTAAGAGGGCAGGCTCAGGATGCATTTGAAGACAACACAGAGTGGGGTCTTCGGAGCAAAACGAGGGAATTGACTTTTAACCTACCAGTTCCAGTGAGCTTCAAGAATGAAATTAAGCAAAACAGATGCCCCCTCATCAACAGTCCTTCCCAAGTCAATGCCTGCCCTAAGTCCAAGTCTTCATTAACAAGCACCATGTAACTGAAGCTTTCTTATCTGGGTTCAAATATTAATGACAGACTAGAATATAGATCAGGTGGCCACTGGGCTATGGCTTGGCTACAGGAAGTGTAGATCTATTTCACCACATTAGCACAGATTTTCTAAGTGACTGTGTCTAAGTCTTACTGTCCCTGTGCTTTAGACTCTTCAATGAGAATGGAGTATAACTACTCTTTTGATTTCTCCCTCTTCCCTTGCCATGTCTTTATTTTAGCTATCTCTTTGTGTGTCCTTTTCTTTGTGTGCATGTAGAACTGTCTTTAAATGCTAATGGAATAGTACAGCCAATGTGAAGGTCAGAGTCAGAGCCCAGATAATTCAGAGGAAGCACCCCCACTGATGATGACTGTCTGACAGGCCCAAACACGGTTCTTAGTGCAAAACAGAGATGTGTTGTGCAAGTATTTTTTTCCTCTTCCTCTTCAGAATGGCTGTGATGAGACAGGAACTTTTCTGCAAGTTGCAAAGGACCTAGCCCATCCCTGATAATCCTGTGCTTTTCAAAACTGCCTACAAATAAAAGTGAAATCCAAAACTCTGTTCCTGCCAAACAGGCCACATGGCTTTCTAGTGGTGTGACCTGCAGGGATCTCTGATAAGCACGTGGTCTTTCTCCTGCCTGTTTGTTTTTAATCAGATCCAAACAATAGAAGCTGACAATGAAATCCCAGAGTCTCACCCAGAAAGTTCCTCAGCTTTTGGCTGGACTTTTTGTTTGTCTGTTGTTCTGGGTGTACTCTGCAATCTGCTGCCTGGAAGGCTACGTTGGCCTCACACCAAGAAGCTGCAGACAGCATCTTATCTATATATAACTCTCCATACCATTTCCTCTGGAATAAGTGCCTGACGACATCATTTCATTGCAGAAGCATACTGAGGTGTCTGGAGTGCTCCACAAACCACAGCCCAGAAGGAAGAAAATGAGAGGATGCATGGTTTCAAGTATAGGGCAAGAAGCAGCATCTTCCATCTCTGCCACAGCCTTCTCATGCACTTGGCCAAGTCTCTCAGTCTTGCTGTCAGTACACTAGACCTTATCAGATATTGTTCTGCTTAAAGGCAAGTCCCATTTTCAAAAGCATTTTAGGCTTTCCTCAGCTCTGAAGCCTTAGCTCACACATTTTCCTAGTACATTTTTGTCCAAGTCTATGATACACCTTTCTGCTTAGGACTATTATATACAAGGCTAAGACAATACAACCTTCTGGAAAACTAGAAATATGTTCTTTTCCATCTCCCTCTCATCAGGGAACCTTTACAGGCTACGTACAAACTATTGCAGAGTTGCTTAGCTTCACAAACGCTTAATCAAGCTTGCTTTATTTTTGGACCTATCCTCTGCTATGCTATTCTCACCTGTGGTCTAAATACTTTCAAGTTGCCCATAAACTTCATACTTAAGCTTTGATAAACTAATAAATACATTAATAACCATATAACAAATTTGGAGTCCTAGTTCTTTAAACTCCTTCTTCAGGTGTCCCCCAGCAGCAGCTCTTTCTGTTCCAACCACGGTTGTTTGGTCAGATTATTAATCTTTTTCTTTATTTTAGTATTTTTCATTTCATTAACTTGCAAGCAATGCTGATTCTTAATATTATTTTTTTTTAGCCCAGTTGAGCACTGTATTAGTTGTAGTAGTATTAAAAGCATTAATTATAGTACTTAATAATGCTGACATGTATTTTATTTGAAATAATTTGTTTATCCTTAAAGAAAATATGTATTCTGATTGGGTTAGAGTTCAATTATATTTTATGAACCAAAGTAGGAAATTTGAAATATAAATTTTAGCAGCATATAAAGAATCCATTAAGCCCCACAAATGCTTGTGAAAATTCAAACGTGTACGTTGGTGGCAATCAAAATTTAGAATGTATTGAAAAGATGCATTATGTCAGCTGCATTATGACAAAGAATTACAAGTCACCATATGGCTCAATTTTTCCAAATACGTTTTTCCAAATAGCAATTTCTTAAGCATTTAGAAATTTATTTTTTCTAATTGAATTTTAACTGGTATGTTTTAACTACAACTGGCAAGTTGAACTTCTTGCTAATTTGATTCAGGACAAGAGTGGGAGTTTAAAAAGGGGGTTTAGTAACTCTGAAACCTTCCAAACATATTTTTTTTAAGGTATTAGGGAGGGATGAATCTCACACCAAGCTTTGAACGTGACCAGACTGAAGTCGCAATTATGAATAGGCTTAAAATTTCAGCAAAAGCCTTCACTTCCACACTTCACTGCCAAACAATTCAAAACCAATCCACATGTGTAATATTATTCATCTAAATAGTCTAGTCCTTTTGCTCGGGGTACTAAGACTCAGGCCTTCAGCTCTGCAGCATGGCTAGTCAGAAACTTCTGATTAAAGTTTCATCAGCAAACGCACAGCCCAATATATTTACTTCAAAACATTTCAGAATTTAATGAGATGATAAGCCTAACACATATTTGCATAGGTTTCCAGTATATGCTTGAGTTTCCAGCAAGAAAGAAGATCTGGTGTTTCCTGGATCTGTGCTTCTGTTGTGCACCCGCAGATCGGACCTGTGTGGCACAGAACTTGCATGACCAGCCCTGACTCTGGGCTCATGGCCTTAACTGATTTTCCAAGGTCAACATAGTATATGACACGGTCCCAAACAGCCACTACACAAAGCCTTGATGTTCTGTGCCCATAGAGGCAATTCATTCAGGAAACACCACATCAGTTTCTTAATGAATTTTAAAACCGTTTTAAACTTAATCTGAAAACTAAAGTTTTATATGCACCCAGCCAGCCAACACAGAACACGTGCCAAAAAAGCAGCTATCCCCTAGTGACTGCTCGCCAAGGATAGGACGTGCTGAGGCTCCCAAATCCTCAAGAGGAGTATTTCTCATTCCAGATGAAAACTGTTCCCTCCTCCAGTCTAAAGATTGTCTTACCTTCCACCTCTAGTCCAATGCATCCAAGTTTCTGAAAATACTTTTTCAGCAATGAAAGGTGAACAGTTTTAGCCTCAGAGAAAGGACTCCTACATAAGCAGGAATGACCTCGCTGCAGAATTTGATCTACACAAATCGCAGTTACTGGCTGTTCCTAAAACCTGCAGTTCCATTCACAGGTAGATGATCTCTCTTTAGCTGTTCTGCCTTCACTGCTTCTATGGTACTTCAAAGGCAGAGCAAAGCATGCACTACACTACGGTCATGAACTTCACCATCACCGGCTTTCTAGGCAATTTATAGTGAGAATTGCTGTTGTGTTCAAGAGGAGAGAATAGATAGGTAGGAAGAAGTCTAGGAGCTTGCTGAAAGATTATGTGAAATTTTAACTATGAAAAATACTATTTCTGTATTGTCCAGTCTTAAAACAAAAAGAGGTTGGCTGAAGCCAACTACTTAATGATTTTTTTTTTCTTCTTTTTACAAACTGTGATGATAGCAGTCATATTCCCTCCTATGTTACATGGATGAGCCTGGGGAAAGTTCTAATATTAAGTTCAATCATCCAGGAGAAATATTACCTCTCCCCAGTATTGGTTAAACTGTAACCACCTCATATAATTTGGGTTAGAAATGGAAAACACAATTTGCATTGTGAAAATAAGTAACCACACAGAGTGTTCTCCATGGGTTCAGATATTGGAGTGTGTAGGCAGCACTGACCCATATAGAGTTTCGAGCTGTCACGCAAGAATCCCTGAGATGCGGTTTCTGCCTGGTTTATGTAAGAGGCCACAGCCTTTCCGACCTTGAACACCTGTGTGACTGCTTGAACAAGGTGACACTACCATTCCCTGTTGCAGTTCCACAGCATGAGATCAGCAAATGTCCCTTTCACCATTTTAAGGAAGACGGGAAGAACCGCAGGAAGTCTGGGCGCGGCGGGGCTGACGCTGTGCCGGGCCCTACCCTGCGTGGAAGGGGGTGCGTTCAAACCGCTCGGGAACCGCACGGCCACATGAGCCGCAAGGGGGTCACTGTCCCGCACCGCAGGAGGGATCCCAACCGGGACTGCCACCTCCCCACCCCACGGAAGGCTCGGCGCGTCCCGCCAGGCCCGGGCGGTGGCGGCGGGGGGGCGCGGGCCGGAGCGGGGCGGCGCGGCGCAGGGGGCTGACGTCAGGACGGGGCTGTCGCTGCCCGCGGGCGGAACGGGACCGGCGGCGGCGGCAGCAGGTAGGGGCG